TCCCCTGAGACAGACAGAGCCAGCACTGGTTCTGCCCTGAGGACAGGAACTCCTGGGACAGCTGCTCCTCTGTTAGGTCAAATACATTTCCTGTTGATTTGATTAGCTTCTTTCTAAGCAATGCATTTATAGAAGGAAAGGGAACGTTTGCAGGCATGCATTTGCACAGGCAGCCAACCTCCTCTGGTCTCTCTCTCTCTCTCTCTCTCTCTCTCTCTCACACACACACACACACACACACACACACACTTTCTCCCCATCCACCCACAAAGCGTCAGTCACATTTAGAATTTGCACAAATGCACACCCTCCCTCATACATTACAATGCACACCCTTTCATCCACCTACACATCTCTTCCACAAAAATCACACCTGCTCACATACCCCTAGAAGCACATTCCTGTGCTGTGCCCAGAGAGGGAGAGAAAGGTGGGGAGACAGGCATGGTGAGTGGGTTGTAAGAACTCAGGAACCAATCACCCCTCTTAGGAGATGAACAATCAGAAGATTAGAAACCCACAGTTTTCTTTCTCTCTGCCACCTTGGCCCTGTCAGTAAAAATACTGAGGAGCAGAAGAGATACTGAAGTGAAGAATAAGGGGCATTTGGGTGGAGAAAACACATATTCAGGGCTCCCCATCCTACAGGGAAAGTATGCTGCCTAGAACAGTAGCGTATTGCAAGCCTGCACCTGAGGTGGGAAATTTGTCAGGGCTGTAAGTGGAGGAATAAAGCTACATCCATGACAAGTCTGAGGAGCCCATTTTGACTGATAACAAAGAGTAACCCCTTGGACTAGTATTGCATATCAGCTCAGGAAATGATGAGGGAGAGAAGAGAAAAGGAAGAAGCTGAGTTTGGCTTCTGGATTCAACATCTCCAGTTTTTCCAATAACATCTGAAATCAAGAGGCAGCTCCCCCTAATGGAAACTTGAAGTTCTCTCCAGAGAAAGGATGGGGGAAAGTTCTTGAGAAGTGAGAAGGACCCAGTGTGGGGCAGTAGCAGCCAGGCCCTGGGCCCTTCTGATTTCCATTCCAGACTTTTGATCATCACTCCAAATTATTAAAAAAAATATTTTTTGATTTATTTATTTTGATTTTATGTTTTGCCTGCATGTATGTAACTACATCACATGTGTGCAATACATGTAGAGGCCAGAAGTGGGCGACAGAGCCCCTGGAACTGGAGTTAAGGACGATTGTTTGTCACTGTGTCTGTGCTAGGAACCAAACCCCAGTCCTCTGCAAGAGCAGTCAGAGCTTAACCACTAAGACATCTCTCCAGCCCCTATCACTCCCATTCTAAAGTTACAGATTTTAGAAAAGAACAAGGCTTTTTTTTTTTTTTTTCCTTTCTTTCTTTAGGACAGGATCCTTGAGCCTGCCAACAGTTCCCAAGAAAATTGGCTGACAGCTCAGCAGAAGTCAAGCCTCTGTCACCCAACTGTTGACAAGGCTTCCCAAATGTCTCCTTGGGCTGCCGCCTGGGGGCGCCCCCAGCTGGGTCTGAGGCTGTAGCCAGCACTGCTGTTATTAAGATAATTAATAAACAAGCAATGGTGAGGCCAAGTGGAGGAAGACCCAGGCTCCTGCTGCTCAAGAGAATCCCTGGAAAGATCCAGTGAGGCTGCTGAAATGGGAGTCAGTGGCAAGTTCCTTCCCAGCCCCGACCTCTGGGAAAGACATCTGGAAAGGGCTCTGTGGGATGGCCTCTGGGGACAGGTAGAGCTGAAGACAAGGTTAGGGGAATGTTTAGAAGGTGTCATTTGGAACCAGCTTTGCATCTGCCTGACAGGATGTCTGCGGGCAAGGCCACCTCCAATGATTTCTACTTGTGGAGCAGACTCTGAGGAGATTATTCATTCATTTAACAAGGATCTGCCTATTTATTCATGGAGTGCCTACTGTGTGGAAGGTAGTCTACTAATAATAGTCGATATTTCAGTGTACAATGTGAAGACACTGCCAATGTTCACACTGTGTCCTGGGAAGTAGAGGGTAGAAACAAGAAGCAAGTAGGGAGAATGACAGCTCCAAAAAGATGATGATTTGGCTTTGGCCTGTGTAGGGCAAGAGGGGGATGATATCTGGGAATCTCTAAACAGATCGTGGAAAACTCAAGACCTGTGACTCAAGTTGGAAAACACCCTGGGAAGGTGGGCTAGAGGGAATGGTCTTTCTCCGATATAGTACTTGGAGACAAAAGGGGTACAGAGCACGAATAAGAGAAATTTGGGTGAAAAGCTCAACGAAAGTGCTACAAGGCAAGCTAACAGATCCTGGAGGAGAGCTGTCACAGCAGTCTGGGGGCACCTGAAGGCGGTATCTGGTAGGTGCTTTTTGTTCTTCGAGGGCCGTGCGGGGATCTGAGGTCAGGATCCAGACTGGAGTCGGGGTGTGGCAGGGGCTTCCAGCCGGGTTTTACAGAAAAGATCCGGAGAGTGGTGTTGGAGGGGAAAGGAGGGGCGTGGCCTGGGTGCCAGCCCAGGGATCCAGGCAGAGCTACCTGAAGGGCAGTGAAGTAGTGGGGGTGCCGGTCCCACCGCGAGGTCTGCGGGTGGGCGGGAGGTCGAGTGGCCGCGTCTAAGGTTAGTGCTCGCTCTAGCCTCCGGGATGCGCGAGGGGCGGGCCGAGCTCCGGCTGCGGGCGGGCCGGGAGGAGGCGGCGGCTTGGCGAACATGAATCAGCGGCGGCGGCGGCGGCGGTGGAAGCAGCGCGGTGGCCCTGCAGCGGCCCCGGGGACCCCGCGCTGCTGACAGCTGCGACCGCGACTCGCGGCTGGTGCGGGTCCGGGAGGCACCGGCCCAGCA